CCCATTCTATTCTATCCTGTCCCATTCCACTCTATCCTGTCCCATTCCACTCTATCCTGCCTCATTCTACTCTATCCTGTCCCATTCTATTCTATCCTGTCCTATCCTATTCTGAATCTATCCTATCCCATGCTATACTATTTCTCTTCTATCCCATCCTGTCCCACCCCATCCCATCCAATCCCATCCCGTGCTATTCTATCTTATCCTCTCCTACACTGATTCTGTTCTATATTCTTCTCTGCACCCTTTCAGGGAAAAGAAAGGCGTTTGGGGACACAGACACTAAGGATCCCCTGGAGCTCTCCCACCTGGAGCACAGTGGGGACCAACACATCGAGAACCCAACAGAACACACCAGGAAGCAGAAGGTTTCAGAGCTATTTCATTTGTAAACCACAGTGATATATATATATATCTATATATATAAGGCTATATATATATCTATATATATAAGGCATAGAGAGCAGAAGGCTTTACTTGGGTCTGGCCTCTTGGCTGGCTTTGGTAACGAGACCAGGCTGATGTTTGCAGGTGCTCAGAACTGCCTTTGCCCACCACAGCCCCCGGATGAAACAAAGCTCTGCAGCCCAGATTGGGAAGAAGAGGATTGGATGTGGGGATGCTGCCCTTTCCATCACTGTCAACCCACTCTGGTTTGCCAGGGAAGAACTGCTAGGGAATAAAACAGGGTTTTGTGATGGAAGAGGCTCTGGAGAAGTGACAGGTGGAATTATTTTTGGTAGGGTTGCTCATCTCAGGTCGGAGCAACAGCATGGATGGATGAGAACCATCCACGGTTGGACGGGAGCTTTGGGCTGCTCATCTCTTTGGGGCTCTCAGCACTGAGATCCCATTTCTGAAACAGGTGGGGGGTCACTGAGATGGGAAACTTGACCAAACGTGCAAACTGGGGCAAGAAATGAGGAATGGCTTCCCATGGCATAGCAAGGCATGCAGGAAGGCAGTGAGCAAGCAGGGTTGCAGTGGAAGAGGACCGACCACATCAGCACCACTTGGCCAAGGCGTAACTCACCAGGAAGCTGCAAAGCCAACATTCCCCTTCAGCTCGCCTGTTTCTCAGGGGTAGCAGCATCCCCAGATCTTGGGCCAACAGCTGATAGGTCAGCATTAACAGGAGCACGAGTGGGAACGAGATCAAGAAAAAAGGGCAACGTGAGTAAACACGACGAGTTTTGCTGGCAAAATGGTTCCTGGGGTGGGGGAACCTCCACACCTGAGCACCAGCTGCTTTGGGGTACGTTCTCTGTGTCTGAAGTGTTGTCCTCACACGTGGCAGAGCTGCCCTGTGCAATCCAGGCACTGTCACAGTACTGAGCAGCACAGGATTTCCATCACGTCCCCGCCAGCAAAGCAATTAGCCATGTGCTTTTCCCCCCCTCATCTGCTGCTAAGAATAGGCTTAAGTGCCTCGCTGGAGCCAACGCCAGCACAGTTTGTCCTGAGAAACAGATCCTCTGGGATCACCTTGTTCTGCTGTCTGCTCCGAGCAGCAGCAGAACCCCCTCTCAGTGCACATCAGTGATTGCAGCACGGGCAGGGGGAGCAGAAAGCTGCAAGGTCCCAGCAACACCATTCACACCTTCTGGGCTGTGCAAAACCCGCATGATGCACACTCATCACGCCCTGCTTGCAAAGCACAAAGCAAACAGCTGTGCTTCCCAAGGCCTGCCCTGCTAGCACCCAGCAGCAGCGTGCACTGTGCTCTGCTGTTGCACTGTTTGGCTTCAGCAAAAGGAGAAAAACCAATCAGGCACCGAGCTGCAGTGCAGGGGGTTGCACACAGCAGGAGGAGAGAAGCAAAGCCCCCCGCTGCGCTGCATTGCTCCTGGGCTGCTCCGTGCCCTCTGCTGCTGCAGCAGCGTTGGCTGGGAAGGCAATGGGGCACGTGGGAGCGCAGAGGAGGGAGGACAGGCTCCAAAAGCAGGAATGCACATCGCACGGCAGAGGCAAAGGGAGGCTGCTGCAGGGTGCCAAGAAAAACCTGCTCAGGACCTGAGAGATTGCGGCTCCTCCATGATCGCCGCCATGGACAGCCCACAAAAGGGTCCTTTTCTCCCCAACCCTCGCCAGCTTTGCATCCGAGCACTGACCAAAATTAAAACAAACAGAAGGAGGACGAGGAAGCCAAATCAGAACTGCTGCAGAGGAGGTTTGATTTAGGCGCTGCTCCTGAGGTGAGGACTGCAGGTGGCTCCCTGCTCTGGGGAAAGGAACGTCGCCGCGTCCTGGGCTGCAGCGTCCCGCTGAAATCCAGGCACTCAGTTGAAAGGTTTCACCAGCTTCATGGCAGCGTAGTTCTGCAGGGAGGGAGAAAGAAGGCAGAGAAGCGGTGAGTTGGGGCATGGCAGCACGTGGAGGTCAAGAGCGACCATGCCATGGGATGCTCAGGACACACCAAAGGGGTTTTGCCTTCTTCCAGCAGAGCCTTCCCAGCAGTGAGCACCAAGAGTCACTCACGGACTTGGATTGTCCCTTCCACCAGTTTTTAAGAATCACAGAATGATTTGGGTTTGGACCTGGTTTGGAAGGGACCTGAAGATCATTAAGTCCAAGCCTTAGCATCCTCTACCAGCTCAGGCTGCCCAGGGCCCCATCCATGGCCTTTGGGAAGCTCCATGGATGGGGCTCCCCTGGGCAGCCCTTACAGTTGGAGAAGACCTCCGTAGGGGTTTAGATGGGATGTCAGGGGGAAGTTCTTTACAGAGGGAGTGGTGGAGGTGCTCAAGGCCAGGTTGGATGGGGCCCTGAGCAACCTGGTGCTGTGCCACAGTCCTGGAGGTTGGCGGCCCTGCCTGTGGCTGTGGGGTTGGAACTTGATGATCCTTGGGGTCCCATTCAACCCAAGCCATCCTATGATTCCGTGATCATCCAGCCCAACCCCAACTCATCACCATGGCCCCTCATACAGCCACAGAACCAGTATGGTTGGAGGAGGCCTCTACAATCACCAGCTCCAGCCATCCACCCATCCATCCCCATTAAACCCCGTCCCCAAGTGCCACATCTCCACATTCCCCCACAGCACCGCAGCCTGTTCTACACGCAATTCCTTCCTTGAAAGAAGACAACAAAAAAGAATAAGCTGTGTCAGTGCTGCTTATCAAGACCACGATGCAAACGCAGGCAAAGACAGGCTGGTTGGAAAGAGCTCTATTTAAAGTAGCTCTGGTTCAAACACCCGTGACCACATACTAGCCAGTTTGGAAGGCTCTCCCAGACAGATTGGATTTAATTGGTACAGGATGTTCTATCACTCCTTTGGAAAAAAATAAAAAATAAAAAAAAAATTAAAAAAATTAAAAAAGACTTTGGAAACAAAGCATAATGCTGCTTTGGAAGAGGGGAGAAAATGAAAAACAAGAGAAGTAAAGCCCGGCCCAAAAGCATCACGATAAATTACGACGTGTAGCGAATTACGGGGCAATTTGCCAGCGGAGGATTTCTAATAACGCCATAAATCAAGCCAGCAACGTTAGGGCAGTTTACCAGAAGTCATTAGAAAAGCCTCCAGTGGGACATAACCTTCGAACTAATTATCCATCCATTTGTCTTTCAAGAGTCTGTCCTCCTAAACTCTTCTGTTCTTTTACGGTTGCGTTCCGGAGGGTCGCGAGTTTGCTGTCCAGCCACGAATTTGTATTAAACCAAGTGTTGAAAGCCAAGCAGGATTATCAATCGGCGCAGAAAGCGAGCTGTAATTAGAATTAATGGCAGTGGAAGCAACGCTGGCCTCTCGGAACGCAAACAGAGCTTTAAAAGGTAGTAAACATTTTCACGGTGCTGCAAAGCAGAGCTGGAAGCAGCGCTTCTTCCTCCTGCCACGGTGGTACCACTGAAACCTGCACTGCAATGCCCTGTGAGCACAGCTGAGGAAGGCTGCTGAGGAGCCCAACGCTGAGGGAGGGTGGAAAAGCTCCCAGGAAGAGATGAAGAACCTCAAAAGATCAGATTTTCAATGTTTTCCTCGTTTTTGGTGGATCCAGATGATCCTTTTCTCCTAATTGTTCTGAACGGGACTGAGGTATCAGCTCGTGTTTATCCACCAAAAAAAAAAAGAGCTGGAGTTTTTGGGAATCACCATTTCCGGGGGCTGCTGCTGGGTTTGTGGCTCCAGCTGGAAGCGCAGGGCTGTCACCAGGCAGCTGGGGCTGTGGTTGGAAGCTGCCATCATTATGTGGGGAATGGGAAAAAAATAGGAAAAGAAAGCTTTCAAACGTAGATATTCTTCCACCAAAAGCCATCAAAATGCCCCAGGTTCATTTCCAGGTGAGACTCCCAGCTCTTCAGGGCAGGAGGGGACCCAAGCAGCCCTGGCTCCGCTCACTCCTAGGGCACGTTGTGGACACGCATCCATTGATCCACTGAATTCATCGAATCGTGGCATCACAGAATCATAGAATCATAGAATCACAAGGTTGGAAACGACCTACAAGATCCTCTAATCCAACCGTCTCCTCATCCCCATTGCCACCACCAGCACTATCATGGAACCATCGTGGTTGGAGAGCACCTCCAAGACCACCAAGTTCAAGGGCCAACCAACCCCCACCACGGCCACTCACATGGATCATGGAATCATTCAGGTTGGAGGAGAGCTCTAAGATCCCCAAGCCCAACAACCCCAACTCATCGCACCGTGCCCACTGACCGCAGCCCTCAGTGCCACATCTCCAAGGTCCTCGGGAACCTCCAGGGATGGTGACCCCTCCACTCCCTTGGCAGCTGTGCCGTTGCATTGCCACTCTTTTGGAGACTAAACATCTCCTAATATCCAACCTGACCCTGCCCTGGCACGACGTGAGGCCATCACCTCTTGTCCTACTCCTCTTCAGCCAAGGACCTGAAGAGCAATGGGATGGAATCACAGAATCACAGAATCACCCGGGTTGGAAGGGACCTCAAGGATCATGGAGTTCCAACCCCCCTGCCCAGCAGGGCCACCAAACACACACATTCAGATCAGGTTGCCCAGGACCCCGTCCAACCTGGCCTTGAACACGTCCAAGGACGGGGCATCCACAACCTCCCTGGGCAGCCCGTTCCAGGGCCTCACCACTCTCCTTGGAAAGAACTTCCCCCTAACATCCAACCTCAATCTTCCCTCCTTCAACTTGGATCCATTTCCCCTAGTCCTGCTGTTGTCAGCCCTTTTGAAGAGTTTACTCCCCTCCTGGGTGTAGGTTCCCTTCAGGTATTGATAGGCTGCAATGAGGTCACCCCGCAGCCTTCTCTTCTCCAGGCTGAACAAGCCCATCTCCCTCAGCCTGTCCTCATAGGGGAGCTGCTCCAGCCCCCTGCTCATCTCAGTCGCCCTCCTCTGCACCCTTTCCAAAATCTCAATGTCTTTCTTGTGCTGAGGGCTCCCGTGGTACGGGACCTTAAAGCTTCATGGCCAGCGTGTGGAGCTATGGCAGCGCTCCTGGCAAGCAAGGCAGGAAAGCAAGCAATGAGGGGTTGGATTTCAGTGCGTTTAATCAGGGATGCCACGGTGCGCCCTGCCAACACTCAGCACGCCAGGGGCATCCTTCACAGCAAACCATCACCAGCACGAACACCAGATTTCTGGTTGGATGGAAGGGGAAGGCAACTGAATCTCCGTGTCGATACCTCGGTGACCTCAAAAATCCAGGGGGAAGCTGGCCAACTGCATGGACAGAAAAATTCCATTCCCTTTTCAAAAGATGACTGAAAAAACGGACCCGACCAAAACGAAATTAAATACAACAACATTTAGCCAGGAAACAGGGAAAAATCCCGAGTAATAACCAGTGTAAATCAATAGTTATAGTTTGGGAGTTTCTGCTTCTCCCAACGCTGTTTTGACCCGATGCCACTGGAATGAATGCAAAACTGCTCACAGCTGTGGGGGAACACTGAGCTCCGGGTCACAGCAGCTCAGGGTTCTATGCTCAGCATGGAGGGGATTCTCCACGACAGGCTGGGATGACAACACAGCACAGATCTGTTCTTGTAGGGTTATTTCCTCTTCCCCACTGCTTCACACCTGGGGAATGACTTCTCCAGCAGAAGCATCCCAGCCCTTCCCAAGGACACAAATCAAACCCGAGGAGCAGAATTTGTTATGTGCTGGAAGGAGAGGCGGGTCATTTTTCTTATCAGCCCATGAGGGAGAAGGCGTCCAAGAGCATGAATTACAGCAGTGCAGACGGAGCAGAGGAGGATGCAAAACCCCAACCCGAGCCAAATGGGGAGGATGGGGCTCCATTATTTATTTGTTTCGTTTTGTTTCACCAGTGGGACTGACAGCGAAGCAAGAAAAAGCCACTTCCTTGATTGATGAGGTGAAAACCCTCCCCACCTGGTTTCAGACACTGTGTTGGTCCTACATGCTGCAAGCCTCGGCAGTGAGAGACAGGGCTGCCTAAAAACCCTTATAAACCCTCCTGCACCTTAAAACGATGACAGAACACACATTTCTTGCCACTGCTCAGCCCTGCCACGTGGCTGTGCCCCTAATTAGGCTGCGTTTTTGTTAGGGATTTTCCCACCAACGCTCAGCGCTTCCAACATCCAAGCTCTGAGGGAACGACCGACAAACCTCAGCAACGTTAGACTCGAAATCAATCACAGAATCAGTGAGTCTTCCAATCGTAGGGTCAACGACATGGATCATAGGGGTTGGGAAGGACCACAAAGCATATCCACTTCCAGCCCAAGTCACGGGTTGGGTTACGCTGCCCAGGGCCCCATCCACCGCCACGGGCGCCTCCAGGGACGAAACAGAGGCACAAAGATGTGAGCACGGAGCAGATGCATGTGCTCTCTTTCTGGTCCATTGTGGCCCACCAAGCCATTCTTCAAGGACCATCACACCTGGGGCACATCGCACCCCACCCCTCAGCCTATCCCACCTCCCCCCCTCCCAAAGCCCTCGTACCGGGAAGGCGTAGATGAAGATCCCAAGGAAGAGCAGCAAAATGAAGAGCACGATGGCCAGGATGAGCAGCCACTTGTACCGGCGCCACAGGATGTACTTCAGGGTCTTGTATGGGGAGGTGAACCACAGGAAGGAGGTCTCCGGGCGCCTGCAGACAAAGCTGGGGTCACTTCACAGAACCACAGAATTGTAGGGGTTGGAAGGGACCTCCAGAGATCATCGAGTCCAACTCCCTGCCAAAGCAGGTTTTCCCTACAGCAGGTCGCACAGGTCGGCATCCAGGCAGGTCTGGAACATCTGCAGAGCAGGAGACTCCACCACCTCCCTGGGCAGCCTGTTCCAGTGAACAGTGGGACCATAGAGACACACTGGGACCCATAGAGACACGTTGGGACCCATAGAGACATGTTGGGACCCATAGAGACACGTTGGGACCCATAGAGACACATAGGGACCCACATTCCCCCCCCTCCCTGCACCCTGTTCCATCGCTCCTCCCCTCACTGCACAGCCGTTCCTTCGCACATTGCTGCACAACTTCCTATGCTCAGTTCCCGGCCGTTTCCCCTCCTCCTGTCTCCACTCCCCACTGAACAGAGTCCGGCCTCGCCGTGCTGCCCCCACACCTCAGATACTGATAGACCTGGATCATGTCCCCTCTCAGTCCTCTTTTTTCAAGGCTGAACAGACCCAGTTCACTCAGCCTTTCCCCATAGCAGAGATGCTCCAGGCCCCTCACCATCTTCATGGCCCTCCGCTGGACTCTTTCCAAGACATCCCTGTCTGTTTTGTACTGGGGAGCCCAGAACTGGACGCAGTGCTCCAGATGAGGCCTTACCAGGGCAGAGCAGAGGGGGAGGATCGCCTCGACCTGCTGGCCACGCTCTGTGCAATGCACCCCAGGATGCCATTGGCCCTCTTGGCCACAAGGGCACACTGCTGGCTCATGGCAACCTGTCGTCCACCAGGACACCCAGCTCCCTCTCTGCAGAGCTCCCCTCCAGCAGCTCATCCCCCAACCTGTACCACTGCATGCCATTATTCCTCCCCAGATGCAAGACTCTACACTTGCTTCTGTTAAACCTCATCCAGTTTTTTTCTGCCCAGCTCTCCAGCCTGTCCAGCTCTCGCTGAATGGCAGCACGGCCTTCAGCCAATCCTCCCAACTTCGTATCATCAGCAAACTTGCTGAGGGTGGCCACCATCCCCTCATCAAGGTAACTGATTAAGATGTTGAACAAGACCGGACCCAGCACAGACCCCTGAAGAACAGCGCTGCTTACAGGCCTCCAACTGGACTCTGCACCACCAACAACGACCCTCTGCGCTCTGCCAGTCAGCCAGTTCTCAACCCACCTCACTGTCCACTCATCTATCCCACACTTCCTCAGCTTTGTTATATGGATGTCGTGGGGGACAGCAACAAAAGCCTTGCTGAAATCAAGGTAGACTACATCCACTGCTCTCCCCCCATCCACCCAGCCAGAGACAACATCATAGAAGGCTACCAGGTTGGTCAAGCACGACCTCCCCCTGGTGAACCTGTGCTGACTACTCCTGATAACCTTTTCTTCCAGTTATCTGGAGATGACATCCAGCACAAGCTGTTCCATCACCAAGTCACTTGTGACTTTCATGGTGCTTTCAACCTTCCTGGATGCCCAATCCCATGAACGCACCGCACTGAAAGAGAGAAAATCCATTCCCCTGTGCGGTGTGTGCTCCTTGGAGCTCCAGCCCAGCCTTTCATCTCTCACCCATGGAGCAAGCCCCTTGCAAACAGAATCACTGAATCATAGAATCACTAAGGTTAAGATCCCCAAGTCCCAACAACCAACCCAACACCGCAATGCCCACTCATAGAATCAGAGTGATGAAGGCTGGAGAAGACCTCCGAATCATCAACCCAAATGCCAACCCATCATCACAAAGCCCAATCATAGAGTCATTAAGGTCACAAAAGACCTCCAAGATCACCGCTTCCAACCCCAACCCCAACCACTGACCACGTCCCCAAGTGCCACATCTCCACACGGAAGGCCTCCCGCCACCAACCCAACTTCCCAACCTTCTCCTTGAGAACCTTCTGCCCCAGTGGTTCCTTTCCCACTCCTGATGCCCTTACTTGGGGTCCTCCAGCTTGGGGTTCATGTTTGGCTCATCCCGACCCACTCCAGCCGGCCGCTCTTCATGCTCGTGTTCAGCCACAATTTCCAAAGTCATTTCCAGTTTTCCCTGTGTGGGTGAAACGAAGACAAGCACATAATAAACAAAAAGCAGAGAAAAAAATGTACAGTGCAAAATACTGAGCAGGGAAAGGAAAAGCAGCCCAGTCACTACCAGCAGTGACCATGAGGAGCTCAATGAGCGTGACCTCATGCCAACCCCTTGCCCTCTGCCTGCTCCCAGCAGACACCCCTCAGCACCTCAGAAATCAGCACCCAGCTTCAGACAACTGACTCCAGGGTTTCTGTAGAATCTCTTAATTTGCAGCTTGGCCTCACTCACCTCTATCAAACGGCCACCACTGACCCAAACTGGATCCCAGAGACCCACATTTAGATTTATCTGTCTGCAATGGAACCCCTTGTACCCGTCATAATAGCACTGAGAACAGCTGGGATGCAGAGCTAAATCACTTGGCCCGTTCTCCATAAACAGCAGCAAAAAGAACCTAATGGAGCAAACAAGTGATTTACATATTGCCTAACAAATCCTAGAAGAAATCCTGTTCTAGCTTGTCAAATCTGCAAACCAATCCAGGCTTGGTTTCATGCCCACACCACGAGTTCCTCCACTTGCTCAGCCCAGCTCAATGAGTCCCCACAGGGGCAACACGAAGAGGACACCCGAGGGCCTTACTGCCAGGATCTTCTTCTCATTCTGCTCTGCGATGCAGGGCCACCAGCCCTTGACGGTTTTCTGCTCAAAGAGGGACACAAAGCGGCTTGCAGACAAGCTGCCATCTATGAGCTCTAAGGAGCACTTCTCAGCGGTCTTGGCAGGCTTGGGCATCCTGTTGAGATCCATCTGGATGGAGCCTGCAGGGAGGAATGAGGTAGGAAGACCTCTCAGGGTAACAGCTCACGGAATCACAGAGCCATTCAGGTTGGAGAAGACCTCAAGGATCCCCGAGCCCAATCCCAGCTCATCCCACCGTGTTCCCTGACCACATCCTTCAGTGCCCCATCCCCATAATTCTGGAATGCCTCCAGGTGAGCCCACCGTTCTGGGCAGCCCGTCCTTCCCCAAGGACTGCTCCCATGAAGAAGTGCTCCCCATGGCAACCTCCTGACCTCCTTGACCTGGACAAATAGGCTCAACGTGGCCCCGTTTTCTAAGCCTAGCATTGGTTTTAGCTTATGGTGCTGCAAAGAATTCAACACTGGCAGCAATATGCAGAGGGTGACCAGGAGCTCATGAAGAGCAGAGCTAGAACTGGAAAGCACACCTTGTGAGAGGTTATTTGGGCACAGCCTTTGTAATTAATCAAAACCAATATCTTGATCGTGTACTTCCTCAGTGAGGCTTCTGGTTTTGGACATTCTTTTGGGGTGGTAAAAGGAAAAAGCAGAACAACATCCAACCAAAAGAAGAATCCCATAACGGTGGAGCTTCCAGCTACACGGATGATCTACTGCATGGCTCTACTGTCTTTCCTGCTGAAGGCTTCTGCTTTGTTTTAGCTTGGCCTAAACCTGGGTTTGTGAGGATGGTTAACAAGGCTAGCACAAAAAAAGCTGTGTCGGGTGGTTTCGTGTCCCAACCCTTTCTGACTTACCCAAATAGTCATCGAAGGAGAACTTGTCATTGTCCCAGATCTGGAAGATCAGCTGCGGTGAAATCTTGTTTTCTGTCTTGTCCAAGCTCCAGAAGTGCTCCTAAAAATCACAACAGAAAGGAAAACGAGGCAAAATAAAGGGCTGGTAAGCAGAAGTGGGCAGGACCCTCATCTCAGAGCAATGGAGATCCCCTGTGTCATCCTCGGTGATGGTCTCCTTCCCAAAGAGAGGCAGCGATGCTCCCATGTGTGAGCTCCTCACTTCTCACAGTACTTCATTCACCTTTCCTGCACTGCCCCCAGGTTTTTGCTCTCAGGACCCATCCGTGCCAGGGCTGGATGCGTTATCCCAGTGGCTCAGCTGATAATTACACAAAGCTGCCATATCTACGCCAACATCCAACATCCGAGCTCCAGGTGAGAGCCAAGTGAGCCAGGAAAACCAGAGCCTGTGCCTTTCTGTGCCATCAGCCCACAGCTGGCACCGCTTCATTTCACTCCTCGCCATCTGAGATCCCTATGCCCTCCTCGCTTCCACCCAATGGGATGGGATGCGTTGCACTCTGCAATATTGATGCGTATTAAAAACCAAAAGGGACCAAAATGCGTCACACTCCATAGGAACACAAATATCCGAGCGAGGAGAGCGTGGGTGGAAGGAGGCACTTAAATCCCTTTGGAGCTGGTTTCCCTTGAAGAGATCACCCAGAAGGGCTGTATTTCAATTTAGCTCCGTTCCCTGCCTTGCTTTGGAAAACCAGCACCAGTCCAACTCCGCGCCAGCATTTTTGCGACGGAGCATTTCATTTATGCGTTTAAAAATACTTTATAATCCAGAAAAATAAAATAAAGGCACTGGAAACTTCCATTTCTCCCCCTCTGCTCGCTGAAATGTATTAAAGCATATGTTTACTCAAGCTTGGGGGGGAAGGCCATGAATTCCCAGCTAATAATTCATCTTAAATTAGAACTGCTACAAAGGGAAAGGGCTTATGGTGATTCTTCCCTTTGCCATGTACTGGTCAGGTCCTGCTCTGCTGTTGGTCACCCAGAGAAAGCCCCCAGGAGCCCCTGTGCCTGCAGCCCAGTGACCTCTCTGGGATCAGAAAGGATCTTGTGGGCTCTGAGAGGTGGAGATGTGGGCTCCCCATCTGTGCTCTGCCTGGGAGAGGATGGCACATCCTGCAGGTGCCTCTCTGTGCTAAGTCCTGGCTCTGAGGACGACTGCACCACCTGCATCACTCAGATGTGCTCAAACCCCACGAGCATCACCGTGCTTCTGCTCGGGCTGAAGCATTAATTGCTACTAATTGCACACACATCAGACCTTCTCTCTGCATTGCCCATCCTCCCGGAGCAAAACCCAGCAGCCAAGCAGCCCCTTTCAAAGCCAGGGGTTCTAGGTGCTCACGTCCTGTTCGTTGCAGGGCGTTGGATGAGATGAGATGGCTTTTAAAGGTCCCTTCCAAATCAAACAATTTTGGGTTCCTGTGATTCAATGTTCTCCCTGCAGGAAGATCCATTCCCTGTGAGTCCCAGTGTGGAAGAAGTGGGGAGCAGGAAAAGGAGCAGGATGCTGCGCCCTGGTTTGGAGCCATGGCCATCACCCACATAATACAACACAACAGAATTACGCCTCCCATCCTCTGAGACTGACTACACAACCATACAGGACTTTGCCTTTCCACCTTCCTATAGCAACACCCAACGTCCTGCTTGCACTCAAAGCAAACAAAACCCATCCTCTGGCCCAGCAGCCTCCTTTCTTCCTGCACCACAGGAACCACTGAGCTTCCTGGGGCTCCCTGCACAGCGCTGGCCTTCCTGGTGGAAAAAACCGACCCATGGAGGTTGCTCAAGAGCAGGATGGATGGCTCTGTGTGCAGTCTGATCTGGTGGGCTCGATCAGCTCATGGAAGGGGATGCAAGTGGATGGGCTTTAAGGTCCCTTCCAACTCGAACTCAGGCCATTCTATGCTTCTAAGATCTTTAAGGTCTCTTCTAACCCAACTCAACCCAACCCAATTCAACCTCTTCATGGTTCTATGATCTTTAAGGTCTCTTCCAAACCAAACCAACTCTTCCATGGTTCAGTGATCTTCAAGATCCCTTCCAACCCAACCCAACCCAACCCAAACCCAACCATTCCATGGTTCTACAATCTTTAAGGTCCCTTCCAACCCAACCCAACCCTTCCATGGTTCTATGATCTTCAAGGTCCCTTCCAACCCAACCCAACCCTTCCATGGCTCTACAATCTTCAAGGTCCCTTCCAACCCAACCCAACCCTTCCATGGTTCTATGATCTTCAAGGTCCCTTCCAACCCAACCCAATCATTCCATGGCTCTACAATCTTCAAAGTCCCTTCCAACCCAACCCTTCTATGGTTCTCTGATTCTGACTGTGGTTTGACTGGTTGTGGCACTTCCTTCCCTCAGGAACCGTGAAGCTGGGACGCACAGATCACAGCTGGGTGAGCCGGAGGAGGAATCTGATGCTGGGTGAAGTCCATGGGTTCGTTTTGAGGCAGTGTGAAATCTGCCTCCACAATTAAACCTCACTACAAAGGTTTACTATAAAAACAACCATCAGCAAGATATTCCCCAACTTTTGGCAAGCCATGGGAAGGAAGGGGGCTTGAGTTACTGTTTGAGGGTTTGTTTTGTAGTTTGGGGGGGAGAAGGGTGGCTGATGAATATTTTACGGTCGTGAATAATTCAGCATGGAAGGCAGGACCAAAAAAAAAGTCTCATACCACTGGGAAAGTGTTGACAGGGCTGAAATTCTTCTGGGCTGCTTTTGTTCTGCGAATACAAAGTAAGGAGCAGCTCTGTGTTTTTGGGAAGGTGGGGAAGTGCTGGGCTGTGCCCACAGGAGAGCATCAGCTCCCACAGCAACTGGAGACCCTCTTCTCCTACAGGTCCATCCTTCGAAGAGCAGAGAGATGCTGTCCTCCCCATGGGGACACTGCGTCTGTCCCCACTTGCAGTGCACTCACCCCTGTGCTGTTCCCTGCACTACTTGGCCTTCTGCCTCCTTCCCAAGCAGGACAGCAGCTGAGCACAACAGCCACCATCTTTGCCTGGGGGCACAGATTCTGGAATCACTCCACGCAGTGCTGTTTTCTCAGCCCCCATCCCACTGCCATTGTGGGATTGCCAAGCGTTGGGCCTTGGCAGCAGCACTGCCAGCCCTCAGCTCTCCACTCAGCCACGTTTTGCTCATCCCTTTCCACACTGGAAAGCAGAAATCGGTGCAGGAACTTTGCTGGAATATCACAGGGGCTGTTGGTGCGTGCCAGGTTGCCATGATAAAGATTGCTGCATCGTCGTGCCTGCAGGTTTTGGTCCCACTGAAATGCCTTATTCATGTCTATCTTTGTGTAATTACATCTTCTTCCAAAAACAGAAGAAAAGGTACTTGGAGCACACTCAAATGATGCTTTTTGGCTGCACAGTGAAAGAAATGAACACCGTGTACTTTGGGGCACAACAAAGGATGGGAAAAAGGAGAAGAACATGTCCCACATTCCAAAGCAGCAACCCTTCTATTTTTTTTCTTTTTTTCACTTTCCGAGACCAAAGAGAAGTGGAAATTTCAATCCAATGAAATATCATCTCGCCCTTCATAAAAACCAGCGCTCAGTTTCTCATGATTTCACATCAAAACCCACTGGGGCGCAGCGGCTCCTCGCTGCACACTGGGGATTTGGTGACGTGGCTCTGGGGGCCGTGGTCAGTGGGATGGTGGGATGGGTTGGGGTTGGTGATCCCAGAGGTCTTCTCCCACCTTAATCACCTCTGTGATTCCGTGATCCTATGGCCCCTGACACCTTGCCTCATGCTGAGCTCTTGTGGGGACCTTTTTCGAGGTGCAGAATGAGGTGAACTCCTTTTTCAGGAGAGGCAACGTTTTTCTAACGCTGCTACATCAACAGAAAATAGGGGTGGAGGGGTAGACGAACATCCTGAGATGGTTAAAAGGTTTGGAGAAGCAAGGACAGGAGCCCACGCTTCCCATCTGTGAGCTGAACTGACACCTGCACGGTGCACAGCTTTCCCCTGAGGTGCAGTGGGATGTGGATGCCCCAGCCCTGCAGGCATTCGAGGCCAGGCTGGATGTGGCTCTGGGCAGCCTGGGCTGCTGGTTGGTGACCCTGCAACACAGCAGGGGTTGGAGCTGGATGAGCACTGTGCTCCTTTGCAACCCAGGCCATTCTGTGGTTCTATGAAACCCCAGAGCTGTGAAGCTGTGGAACAAAGCCCCCCAAAGGCTGGTTGCAGCAGGCAGCATCACCCTGGGTTGCTGGGCTCTCCTCCAGCCCTGCATGCTGCCATCCTCAGGCTTTTCGGACACCATTGGGTTTGGGTTGACCCATCTCCACGGTGCAGCCACAGGGAACTCCAGCACACAAAGGAGAGCAGATTGCAGGCTGCTTTCCTCCTGCAGAGCAGCACCAGCCACGCTGGGTGCAGGTGGCTTTTAGCAGCTCAGCATTTGCCAGCTGACCATTTTGATTTAAATTCCACTTTCCATCGCCTGCGTTTCAAGTTTGGAGCACGGGGTTTTTACAGCAGCAGTAATGAACCCTGAGTTCAACCAGCACATGGCCAGATCAAAAAAATTGCCAGAGCGGAATGCGCCCCGCAAACACAAAGCACGGCTTTTCATTCATTATTTTTTCCTTTACAGAGAGGTTTTACAAGCTGTTTATTTTCTGATACGGTGTTGGCAGACATGCGGTCGGAGGAGAATCAATATCAGCACAGTGGGATGTATTTTCCTAAACGGTTTATGGGGGGGGGGGGGGTCTTTGCTTTTTCAAAGGGGAATAATTGAATGTAGTACACACTGTACTTTTGATTTGTTTAACATGAAGCGTGAAATGGGCACCGCTGTGATTCCGTCAATCACTTTAACTATCCAGCAATTCATTTCGAAGCCAGGCCTCTTTGCAGGCATCGTCTGGTTCAAGGCATGGGGGGGGGAGGATTCGCTCGGCATCTTCACCCCTCCCAAGCCAGGCCATGCTGTGACCCACAGGGGACAAGTTGGGGGGCGCCCCAGGTGAGTTTTGGGGACGCAGGTGGTCCCTCTGCAAGGAGCTGCCATTGAGGGCTCCACAGCCAAACCAACTCCAGGTGGTGGTGGGAGGGCAGGGGAGGGGGGCTGGGGGGCAGGAGGGAGGCTGAGCTTTCGGGGAGGTGTCACAGAACGACCACAGGGGTGATCCCTGCTGCCAGCCCCAGCAAAACACCCGTCAACCTTCAGGTGATGGGAGAAGGAAACGCGAGGAGGACTCCCTCCCCTAACGCATTCCTTGAGAGCCTTCCAGTCCTTCCATCCAACTGTTCCCTTTCTTCCTTGCAACCCCAAACTCACAGTATCATAAGATCATAGAATCATAGAATGGCCTGGGTTGAAAAGGACCACAATAATCCAGTTCCAAACCCCTGCTGTGTGCAGGTCTCCAACCAGCAGCCCAGGCTGCTCACAGCCACATCCAGCCTGGCCTCAAATGCTTGTAGGGATGGGGCATCCACAACAAACCCACATCTGATCACAGCGTTGCACTGACATGCCTAAGAAACACCAGAAGCAACGCTCAATGTTTTGGCCTCCCAGGAGGCCAAAATCACACCTGGCTTCTAATCCCCACCTGAAGAACCAGCTCTCTTTTCAGACCAGGAGCATCTTCACCTCGAACCCCAAAGCAAAGATTTCCATCTCATCTCTGCATAACAGCACATTCCAACTGCTGTTCCTCTGCACGCCCTGCTGCCAAGCATCCCTGCAGGACACTGCTTCTTTCTTTTCCCCCTTTTTAGCTTTCCTATGAAGTTATCATAGAACTGTTTGAGTTGGGAGGGACGTTTAATGGTCTTCTAGTCCAACTCCCAGCTCACGCAGAGCGATGCCCATTCTGCAGTGCTGGAGACCAGGACAGAGCCAGGGTTGGGTAGGCACATGGTTGGGTAGGCACATGGTTGGGAGGCTCCATCCATGTGCTTGGGAGGCGCCATCCATTTGGTTTTGAGGCTCCATCCATTTGGTTTTGAGGCTCCA